GATCCAAGCTTTTGGCCAAGAACTCACTGCTGCAAAAACTGAAAGTGGTTTGGCAGAAACTAAGCACAGATTAACATCTCGCACCATATACCAAGATGGGGTGTAGGGTGTTCATGAAAGATCAGCGTCTCTGGTGTGAAGGCTGCTGAGCCCTTTCCAGGGCTGCTTTCCTTGGTATCCACCTCTCACCTGTGGCTCCAAGAAGCTGTGGCATGCGCAGCAGCCACACCTTGGTAAACCATTTCGGCAGATGGGCTACACCAGGCTGAGGGTAACCAAGGGGTCTCAAACCCATTGATGAGTTAGGGGGGTGTATACCCCAAGCATGTGAAGATGTCCCCTGGTAGAATGGGCAGATGAGAACAATCTGTTCCAACGGCCACGAAGGCAGCTGAAGCAAGTGCCGTGGAGCACTTAGAGATTAGTTAGACATCGAAGATGCCAAGGTCATCCACTGCATCTGGAGCCATCACCAGTCATCTTGATTCTGTCTTGCCACTGGACTGTGATGACTCTGGAAGACAGAGTGAGGCCTACGACTTTGTATAGCTCTGCGTCACTTAAATCCAATTTATGCAGGAGTCAATATACCAAGATAAGGTCAAAATGGGTACAGGATTTAGACAGAAAGGGGCAAAAAGTCTTAAAGGAAATAGTGGATCAGAAGGGGTAGAGGTGTGGTAGGTGGGGACTAGTTGGCTGTATGGGTGTAATTTGAATTTCATTTTCTCTCTCCTGCTCCATTGATGAACTTGTCTAGTTTTTCTCCAATAGAAGGTAGTATTTTGCCTCTCCCACCAAACTATTCATTGTGTCCAAGGTCACTGCTCTTTTGACACCTGCTACACTGCCTCTACATGAAACACAAAAACCAACCAGTGTGAGAATTCTCTTTCAGAGATTTCCCCAGGCCACGATCTCATCAGACAGTAAAAGAAATTCTAAGTTTGGGCTAATGGGTATATTCCTGCTCATAATGTTTGCTCACACAGGTCCTATGAAAGGTTGATTCTCCCTATTATCAAGACAGGTGATGTGGAAATGGATATGTTTGACCAAGATTTGAATGACCTAAGTCACATACCCTGACACCTTCATTTTAATATATCCCATACCTCCCATTGTGTTAATCAATCCAGTTGACTGACATCCCTCAGGAATGCCTACTCTTCGAAGGGCATATAAACTGTGACCCCACTGCCGTTCAGGGTCTTCGGTCTAAGAGAGATGGCCAAATGACCACCCTGTTATTAATAACCTGCTGGCCTTATTAATAGAATGATTAAATTACCCAGAAACTATGTCTAACAAACCTTTTTAATCATCACAGTACCTCAAAATAGAGACAGGAGGAGGCATGTGCTAGGTAAATCATATCACCCCCACCCCTGTGGCCATCCGACAGACTCTGATGGAGCGGCCAAAGGCCCTGAGCCTTGGGAATAGCACTGTGCCCCCAAACCACCAGAACTGCTTCCAGCCCAGCCCCTTAGTCATCACCAAGGGGAGGGGCTCCACTGTCCTCATCATCACCACCAACAGTCAACTGCCACCAACAAGCAGACAGGCACAGAGGGACCCACCCATTCCAATCAATGGCCAACCAGGTGCCACAGACTGGGCAGGCAAGCCTAAGGGAGGCAGCCTGAGGGAGAGATGGAAGGCAGTATGTACCAAGCAAGTCAGACCACAAGCACCACCACCTTGACCACCAACTCCCCTCAGCATCTGGTGGGAGATGGTCCAGGCCCCTGAACCCAAGAGCCTTGGGAACGGCAGTGCTTCCAATCCAGTGCCCTCAGCCATCACTTGGGGAAAAGCCCCAGGGGAGATGCAGCCTGCCCACCCCTCCTGTAGGGGCTAAAGCCACAACTGCTGAAGACCCAGAAGAGAAAGTCACTGACATGAAAGTCTTTGACATGGTCAGATGGTTCAACCTCAGAAAGTCATGTTTTCATCAGTGTAAATGACATTAAAGAAGAGGCATTGCCATCTACTTTATTGCAGCACCCTAAGGACCATGGGACCTTTTAATAACATTATTATTCTATCTAGCACATTCATAGAGCCTACTATATGCTGGACACTATTCTAAGGGCTAAACAAATATTTCAATTGATCTTCGCAACAACCTTGTGAGGAAGACGTTTTCTCCATTTTACAGATGAGGAAATTGAAGCCCAAAGAGGTTAAGTGGAAGCATCTGAGGGTGAATTTGAACTTGTGGCCTCATGACTCCAGGCCCAGCCCTATGTGCCCTGTAGCACCCCTAGCTGCCTTTCTAACTGACTTGTACTTGAACTATTCTGTGTTGTGTCCCCCATAAGAAAGAGCGCCTTATTATCAGGGACTGTCTTACTTTTCTGTTTGCATGCTGAGTGATTACCACCGTAAGAGCTTAGAAAAGCTTAGTCACTTATTTTGTCTCCCCCAGTGGAAGATTCTCGAGGTCAAGGACTATGTCATCTTTGTCTCCACAGCACCATGCCTGAGCCACAGAAGGTGATTATTGACTGACTGAAATCAGGTGGTCTTCATTCAATAAAATGTATTGGGAAAAATCAGGCAAAATTAGGACAAAAGGTGTCAAAGGAAGGAAGGAAGGAAGGAAGGAAGGAAAGGAAGGAAGGAAGGAAGGAAAGGAAGGAAAGGAAGGAAGCTCTTGCCCGGTCACCAAATAGGAGAAATGACAGATTCATTTTTCTTGAGAGACAAATGGCCAAAGCAATGGAACAGAGCTCTCAAAAGAAACACACACACACACACACACACACACACACACACACACAATAATAACCAACTTCAAACTTTTCCTAAATTTCCAGGAATCCAAAAGAAAAAAAGTACCTTCAAGATCCTCCCTTAGACAGCCTCATCGTCCCTTTCCATCCCTATTCCACATCAGTCCTCTCTGCAAGTTCTCGGGCCCAGCCAACTGGCTAATTTGCTGCTCCTCATGCACTACACTATCTACGATGTTACGCCTTTCTCCTAGCTGTTGCTCATTCCCAGAAAGCCCTCTCTCCTAGCCTCTGTCTCTTACACTCTTTTGTTTCCTTCGAGTCAGCTCAAGAGCTCTGACCTGGTCTGATTACTCCAAAGAACAACTTGGAAGTGTGTCTAAAGAGTTATAAAACCATTCATACCCTTTGACCCAGTGATACCACTACTGGGTCTGTATCCCAAACAGATCAAAGAAAAAAGGACCTATATGTACAAAAATATTTCTAGCAGCTCTTTTTGTGGTGGCAAAGAATTGGAAATTGAGGGGATGCCCATCAATTGTGTAATGGATGAACAAGCTGTGGTATGTGATTGGGATGGACTACTATGGTGCTGTGAGAAATGGTGAGGGGGGATGGTTTCAGAAAAATCTTGGCAGACTTACACGAACTGATGCAAAGTGAAGTAAGCAGAACCAGAACATTGTGCATAGTAATAGCAATATCGGAATGATGATCAACTGTGAAAGATTTAGCTCCTCCGATCAAGACAAAGGACTCATGAGGAAAACCACCTCCAGAGAGAACTGATAAACTGAGTGCAGACTGAAGCATTTCTAAAAATTTTCTTAATTTTTTGCAACGTTTTTAACATGGAAATTTTGCATGTATAATTGATAACATATTCCTTGCCCTCTCAAGGTGAAGGGAAAAAACTTGGAACTCAAAATCATTTTTTAAAGCTATGACTGGGAGGTAAGAGCTCGTGATGGATCGGGAAGGGGGTGTAATGAGCAAGAAGTCAGCAAGACAAAGTGAGGAAGCTGGAGACAAATGAGTGCTTGGAAGACACGGGGGCCGATGCAGCTTTAGCGTCTGCCTTTACTTCTGTTTTGGGGAAATGGAGATGTGGCAAACTCTGGCCTCGCCTGGCATACCCAGAGAGCCAGGCCCCTGATACACACACGCGCACACACACACACACACACACACACACACACACACACACGCACACACACACCCCTCAACCCACCCTGGTTCTTCAGTTCGTTGCTTCGGATAGGGCTCAGATGGTGTGACGTGCCCTCTGGCTGCTGTTCTCCACCTCATTGCACCCTCCACCCCCATCAGGAGCTGGAACCTCCCCTAAGTCAAACTGACTTTCCATGTCCTACTTACTCTCTATGCTTGAAACTCACACCTTTTCCCCTTCCCTCAGAGGGTTAAGGGGAAGGGACAAAATGAAGCTACCTTTTTCTAAGCCATCACTAAATTTGATATGCATACCATCTATGTCTTTAATACGGAGATTATGTGTGTATGATGCTTTAAAATTTACACTGTGGAGGTACCACTTTACAGCTATCAGATTGGCTAATACAATAGAAAAGGAAAATGATACATGTTGGAGGGTATGTGGGAAAACTGGGACACTAAAGCACTGTTGGTGGAGTTGTGAACTGATCCAATCGTTTTGGAGAGCAACTTGGAACGATGCTCGAAGGGCAATCAAACTGGGCATACCCTTTAATCCTGCAGTACCACTACTAGGTTTATAACCCAAAGAGATTTAAAAAAAAAAAAAGGGAAAAGGACCTACTTGTACAAAAATATTTGTAGCATAAGAAATGAGAAGCAGGCAAATTTCAGAAAAACCTGGAAAGACTTACATGAACTAATGCAAAGCGAAGTGAGCAGAAACAGAAGACTACTGTACAGTAACAGCAAAACGCACAATGATCTACTGTGAATGACTTAGCTCTTCTCGGCAACACAAATAGATAAGACAATTCCAAAGGACTCATGATGAAAAATACTATCCACATCCAGAGAAAGAACTGATGGAGTCTGAATGCAGATCAAAACATACTGTTTTTAGCTTTATTTTTTCTTCTTTTGGTCTGTTTCTTTCACAACATGACTAACATGGAAATATGTCTTACATGATTGCACATATATGATCTATGTGAAATTGCTTACTATCCTAGGGAGAGGGCGGTGAAGGAGGAAGAAAATCTGGAAGTCAAAATGTTTTTAAAAATGAATGTTAAGATTGTGTTTACATGTAATTGGGAAAAAATAAAATACTATGTAAAACAAAAAAAAAATCGGAGCGTTTTACATATATTATCTCAAGACTGATAAAAACATTCAATGGACTAGGTCTAAGCAAAAATCCCTAAAGGCATTGAGCATAACCACTCAAGCAGCCAGTAAACTGTTCTAATCATCCCTACCTAACTATACTATTGCCTCCCCTACATCTTTCTATCTTTCATGTTGGAAGCAAGATATTCAGGAAACTGTGTGCTTTGGCTGAAAGCCTACGGTATTTGTTCTACTGAGGGTCCCTTTACTTTTTGGACACATTATTGCCACTCACCACTGACTCTCCCCTCCCTAATAAAGAGCTCTCCTGTATCAACTGAACCTTGTCAAGGAAAAGAAGGCAACACATTGGTTAACTTGTGAAAGTATATGCCTCATTTCTATGGACAGTCAGTGACTCCCTACATTGAGGAAAAGTAGTTCACCATCACAAATGGAAGGGCTTTCCACATGCACTATATTTCTTGGATCTTTTCCAATAAGTACATTTATCAAAAAGTCTCTTCCAGAGAAACGTATTGCTTCAACGATTATATTAGTAAGGTTTCTCTCCATCACGAATTCTAGAATGTTGAGGAAGTGCTGTGATCTGGGCGAATGCTTTCCCACATTAACTACATTCATAAGATTTCTGTCTGGAATGTATTCTCTTATGGGATGAAAAACCTGCACCCCTAGTGAAGGCCTTTCCACATTCACTGCATTCATACGATTTTTCTTTAGTATGAACGCTAACATGACGAGTAAGATCAGACTTCTGAGAGAATGCCTTCCCACAAACACTGCATTCATAAGGCTTTATTCCTGTATGAATTCTCTGGTGCACAGAAAGTTTAGAGTTTGTTGGGAATGCCTTTCCACATTCATTGCATTCATAGGGTTTCTCTCCACTATGAATAATACTGTGATGAGTGAGAATGAACTTCTGAGAGAAAGCCTTCCCACAAACACCGCATTCATGAAGTTTTATTCCTTTATGAATTCTCCTGTGCAGAGAAAGGTTACTGTGTGATGTAAATGTCTTCCCACATTCCTTGCATTCATAGGATTTCTCTCCAGTGTGAATTCTCTGATGTAGAGTCAGTGCTGTGCTCCAGGGAAAGGCTTTCCCACAATCACTGCATTTAAAAGGTTTCTCTCCAGTATGAATCCTACAATGTCGTATGAGATGTGCCTTTTGGCGGAAGGCCTTTCCACATTCACTACATTTGAAAGGCTTCTCTCCAGTATGAATTCTGTAATGTTGTACAAGTTTTATCTTCTGCGGGAAGGCCTTTCCACATTCACTGCATTTATAATATTTGTTTTGACTCTGAACACTAGAGTGGTGAATCAGATCTGCCTTCTGACAGGATGTCTTCTCATATTTAGTCAACTCAGAACACTTTCTTTCTGTATCAGTTCTCTGGTATAGACTAAGTTCATTATTCAGAAGGAAAGAATTCCCACTTTCATGGTATTTCTCTTCAGCATGAATCCCATATTTTTTAATGTCATCAAAATCATAACTGAAGGTTTCCTGACATTCGTGAACCTCAGCATCTTTCTTCTGTGAATACACTTGGTTACACTGTCCTTGGTCTGACTCCACGGTTAAGTTCCTCCTCTGATTATCACCTGAATGGAGATTCAGTACTACAGATGCTCCCTGCTGTGGAGAAAGCACTGGGCCATATTTACTGTGCTCAGAGCCTCTCCCTTCATTGGGAGACTCTGTTGGGGTTACGTCTGCTTGTCTAGAGTACTCCTCATTGCTCTGCTCTCTCTTTAACCTGCCATAATACTCCCAGGCTCTTCCCATCTTGGAGATGCATGGGTCATCCCATGAGGGTGTTTGCTGGGCTAAGTCTTCCACAGGAATACCCATCTCTGGAGATGACTCCTTGGTCTGAGGCCTGGTATCCCAATCTGAAAGAAAGAAAAAGTATAAATACCCCTTTTATTTGGAAGAATGAGCTTTTGCTTATGCTTTACTTTTCCCAGTATTCTGGTTATTATAAGCAACATATGCATTGCTTTCACTTGAATTGAAATCAATTCTCATATTTTATAAAATTTCTTTGTAATCACCAGGCTTATCCTTTCATATGGTCTAATAATATTCTATCAGGTGAACATGCCAGAACTGGTGCAGACAATGCAAAATCCATGGAAATGCTGACGACTGCTGGCTCCTTCACACCAGTAAGAACGGTGCAGCTGTTTCTCTTTCATGGAAAATTCTTCATCTGAATATCACACTTGGGAGAGTCATGAGAGTGATCACTGGGTCTAAGAAGGGGAAGTCCTGTGGAGCTCCTACACCGCAGAATTCCACTTTGCTTTCCAAAAAGACTAAAACAATTCAAAGTTCCACCCACAGTGAAGCAGTATTCCTGCATTCTGAAAGCACCAACAGCATCTCATCTATCTAGCCGTACCAACTGACTCTGATATAAAAGGCGACATTATCCAAACGAGCCAGAGGAGCAAGGGAGAAATTATTTGGAAGATCTATGGCTGGGAGAAGACTTCAGGACCAAAAATGTCATCATGGGGATCACAGATGTCCCCATTTTCAGGGGGCTCAAAGATAAATAGCCAGTTAAGCAGTGGGGTGTCATGTACTCAACAGCCTGGAACTCACTCACCTGGCCAGATGACTCTTAGGACACTACCTGTTGGAATCCCATGTGTTTCTCCTAACTCCAGCTGAGTAATCACATCCTTGTTGGAATCTGCAAGGCCTAGTGATAGGAAATGGAAAAGAGATGGAGAGGTATGGTCACCTCAGAGTCTCAGCCTCACAGCCCCCTCAGAGCAAGGAAGGAAGGCCCAGGCAGTCTTGGGGCTGGAGAGGACCACACAGAAAACATATGAAGACTTACATGGCTTATATTCCTGGGAAGATAAGGGAACGAGACAAAGAATGGAGCTGGGTTCAGAAAGACAATGAGTTCATTTGAAACATTCAGTACTAAAGTATCCGGGACATTCATGACTTCAAACATTGCCCTGGGACTTTAGAAAGGGTCTTTGGCACAAGGGAAGAGAGCTGGAGTGAGATCACATTTTGGAAAAGCAAGGGCCCTTCAGCTGGGACCAGGGAGCACAATCACCCCATCTTTTTGCCCCATTGTGATTAACACATGCTTGTCTTTTTTTTTTTTTTTTAACAAGCCAAAGCATCAGTGCTGAACACTAAACCAGCCCCCAGCAGAAGGAAGCAAATAACCTTTCAGGGGCAGATCCTGAGTCCCCAGAGGAGCCATCCTTACTCAGGCTGACCAGGTTCCTGTAGTTCTCCAGCATCACCTCCCAGTAAAGCTCCTTCTGGGAGGTGTCCAGGTAGCCCCACTCCTCCCAGGTGAAGTCCACGGCCACATCCTTAAAGGTCGCTGAATTCTGAAACAACAAATAACTTTGTGCTTAGCCAGGGACCATATGTCAGATGGACCTGGGAAGGGAAGTCAAGTTGGCAGGAATTAGAAGCACCGACTCTTAATATATCCAGTTTTCAGAGCGTTCAAAGCCAGATCTTGAGGAGTATTCACTACATGTCTCAGGCTGTACCAGATTCTGAATCATGTAACAAATGAATAGTCATTGTCAAGTCAATGAAGATTTATGGAAGGTCTACCCTGTGTCAGGCTCTGCGCTGAGCCCTAAGGATGCAAATTAGGGCAAAAGCAGTCCCTGCCCTCAAGGAGCTCACAGTCTAATGGGAGAGACAGCAAGCACCTGACTACTGACAAACAAGGTCTAGACAACACTTTCTTCCCAACCACCTTGGGAAGGCCAGCATTCCTCATATGTACTTTACAGATGAGCAAACTGAGGCTGAGAAAGGCTTTGTGGATTGCTCATGTTCACAGACAGGATCAGAGCTATGGCTCCCATCCCTGTCTCCAGAGCTCACCCAAAGCTCTCTCCACCAGACCATGACGCCTCCTTCTCAGCAGCTCAGGTTCCCCTTTGGGAGTCTTCTCCCAAGGCAGCAGAACGAATCAACAGGCCTCTGTTATGGGCAAACTATGTGCCAGGCACTGGGTTACATGATGGGGATGCAAAGTCACTACCAGCTGAGGGGGCAGGAACGGGCTCCTGTAAAAGTCAGGGCTCAAGCTGATCCTTGAAACAATAAGTCAGTGCCTCCAAGAGGGGCAACATGAGGGGAGAGAAGCATTCCAGGCAGGGAGGGGAAGCAAAGGCAGAGAGAAGAGATGGGGGGCTCACGTGTGAGGAACAGAAAATGGGCCAGGCTGGCCGGGCCACAGCAAGCAGGGAGGACTTTAACAGGGTAAGACGTGGGAAGGTAGGAAGGGCTCAGTTTGTGCAGAACATTAAATGCCAAATGGAGGATTTTATACTTGATCCTGGAAGGACCAGGGAGCCACCAGAGTATATTGAGGGGCAGTGGGGGGCGCAGTCAGACCTGTGCCATAGGAAAATCACTTTAGTGACTTGCGCAGGAAGGGCTGGAGTGGGGAGAGACTTGAGGCAGGAGACCCAGATAGGAGGAGGCTGTTTATAAAGTTCAGGTGAGAGAGCAGGAGGGTCTGCACCGGTGGTGGAAGGGCCATCTTCTACACTTAAGGGTGGTTCTTTTTTAAATCATACATCACCTTCTCACTCACTGAAATTCCAAGTCGGTCCCTGAATGGAGTCAAGAACGTTGGCCCTTACATAATCTTTAGGACAACTGTCCCTCAGAATGAGGCTCCATTAACTGTTCATACTTCCTGAACGTCATGTCTCTATGGTCAAAATTCTTTGCTTAATCAGCATTTTCAAATGAGCCTCTATAAACGTGCTCGTGCTCGGATCAGATTTCAATGGCCCACACACAACTTTTCAGCACAGGAGGTAAGGGGTAAGTGCATGGCATAAAATTTAATATGAACTTCAAATGGAGAAACTGGGACACATAATGGTAAACACCGGTTATACTGAACACTGGTTATACTGAAGATGTCACAAGATGGAAAGTAAGAAAGTCCCATCTGGAGATCCAGGACACAAGGGCTTAAATGAGGTAGTTTGAATTTACAAAAGAAAAAGTCAAATGACTTTGGCAGGTGAATGGAGGATGAACTGGTGTGGGGAGAGGCTGGAGTCTGGGAGACCAAAGAGCAGGCTCTGGTAAGAGTCCAGAGAGAGGTGACCAGGGCCTGCACTAGGGGGAAGGCTGGGGCACTGGGCAGAGGGAACGTGTGTAGGCAAGAGACTGTGTAAAAAGAGAAATCACTCAACTTGGCAGCTGACCTCATATGTGGTTTGAGAGAGGGAGGGAACAATAACGCTGTCAGCCTGGGTGACCTGGAGGACCATGGTATTCTCCACAGGAATAGCCAGGTTCAGAAAAAGGGAAGTTTTGGGGGGAGATACTGTGTTATCCTGGGAGACAGTGAGATGGAGATGCCTATGGGACATCCTGCTTAAAAAGTCCTATTTATTTGTTGTAGATTCAGGAGTAGAATCCATGGCACAGATGAGACCCCCCCAAGTGAGAAAGCTTAGACAGAGAAGGAGGGCCAGGCCAGAGCTTGGACAAGCCCCCCAGACAGAGGGCATGACGTGGATGCTGACCCAGCAAAGGAGGCAGAGAAGGGAGGAGTGGTCAGACAGGAAGGAGGAGGGGACCCAGAGGGAGCAGGACCATGAAAGTGTCAGGGAAGAGAGGCTGAGGCCTGAGAAGAGGCCACTGGATTGGGACATTTGGGGAGGGAGTTAGCAATAGCCACTGAGAAGATCAGAGAAAGTCTCCCAGGAGATCCACCTTTCAGGGTCCCCCTAGATACTGAGTCAAGTCAGATAAAACCAGCATTTATTAAGTGCCTACTGGATGCCAGGCACTGTGGTCTGGTGACTGAATGGCTGATCAGCCCCAGGGGCTCTGATGATAGACAGCATTGGAGAAAAGACCCGTCTACACTGTGCCCTGAGACACCTGGCAGGGAGGAGGGCAACGCTGCTTACCTGAGGGGGCCTGCTGGGGAGGAACTCGGGGCCCATGCTGCGCTCCTTCCTGCTCCCTGCTCTGGCTCGCACCCAGGCCCCTGCTGGAAAGGAAAAGGCAGCCATGGGGGAGGTGGGCCCTTCCCCCTCCCCCCCACACCTGCCTCTGCCTGGGAAATGCCCACAGTGACACCGGGGGCAGCCTGCCTGTGTCCAGGACTCAACTCAACGCGCATTGATGAGGCGCCCACTGTATGCCTCACTGCATTCTGGGTGCTGGAGATGCCAAGGAGAGGGAAAAGCCCAGACTGTGCCCCCCCCACAAATGCCAGGTCACGTGGGGGGGAGAGGCAGTGACACCCGGGGGGAGAAGGGGTGGCTTTGGGAATGGAAGCTCTTTTCCCAGGGGGTCCGAACCCCAAAAATGCGGGGGTACCCAAGGGCATCCATGTCAGAGCGGGCGATTTGGGGAGCAGGAGAGGGGGAGGGGGTTGGAAAGGGAAGAGGAGCCGTGGGTGTGGGGAGAGAAAGGGGAAGAGGACGGGAAACTGTGGGGGGAAGGGGGAAGAAAAAAGGGAGGGGGCGGGGGTCGCGGCGCCCCCCTCACCAGACCCAGGACAAGCTGCCCACTCTGCTGGACTGACAGCTCCAAAGCCCGCGGGGATACCAGAGGAAGCAGAGTCAACTGCGTCTGCGCAGACTCTCGCTCCCGTTCCCCCGCCCCTTACGGAGGGACGCGCCCATTGGCTAGCTCGGGAAGGGGCGGAGCTCACTCACCATTCTGGCCAGGGAGGGGGAAGCCGCTCGGGACTGGCCTGCCCAGCTTACGCCCCGCCCTCCCGGGTCGCCTGGGGCTTTGAACCAATCAGAGGCGCTGCCGCGGCAGAGGCCCCGCCCCCAGCAGCGCCCACTCTGCTTAGGCGTCACCTGCACTCACCTGGACACAAGCTGTCTAGGACATCTCCCCTCAGCATCCACGGCCTTCCCCTTTGCTCCAGCTGATTGATCACATTGGGTTTAGTATCTGCGAGGCCTGTTCATTGGAAACGAGAAAGTACCAAGGACAGAGATCCACCCTGGAATTTGATCCCAACCCTTCGTTCTTCTGGGGAAAAGTGGGATTGCTTGGAAGGGAAGGAGGGTGTTGGGACCATGTAGGACACTGTGTCCCTGGGAAGTGTGGGGGAATAGGTTACAGAGCAGGGCTGGGCTCAGAACATGGGGAATTCCCTGATTCCAGGTATCTACAAGGGGAGTTAAGGAGAGAAGGGAGGATTGGAGATAGGACCCCAAGGTCAACACCATCAAGCTGAAAGTCTCCTGTTCCACCAAGGAAATACCTTTCCCCTGTGAACCAGTCACAAAACGGCAAGGAATCTCTGGCCTTTCCATGCCATACAATAACCCTTCAACATTCAATGCACCCCCACACCACTGGGTTGGGGCTCAAATGAGATCATGTAAAGAGTTTTATGGGCAGAATATAGATGTCAGCTACATACTGATTCCAAATCAATCTCTAGTGCTCTTCCTACTGTATTTCCCTTCATTCCAGGAAGGCTGGTGAGGAGGATAGTTATGGAGGATGACCAGCATGTAGAGGGGTTATAGATTATACATACACTGATTAAAGGAACTGGACGTGTCCAGGTCAGAAGAGAAAATATTTAGGTGTATGAGGCATATGATGTCTCCAAGTGTTTGAAGATTAGTCACACAAAGGTTGAAGAGGAAGAATGGATCGAGATGGCAGGGGTGCGGATTTCAACATGACATGAAGAAAACCTCCTAACAATTAGAACTGATCAAAAATGGAACAAACTGTCCCAAGAGGTGGTGAGGTCCCCATCACTGAGTCTTTAAGTGGAAACTGAGATTGTAGAAGGAATTCTGAAGCTAGGATTCGCTTTGAAGTATGGATTAGACTAGAAGCCTTCTGAAGTTTCTTGTAATTCAAATCCTCAAAGATTTGTTACTTCTCAAGGATAGTCACTTATGTCATGATGGGGTAGTGAGGTCAGCAAAATTGCAGGTCTACGGAAGAATCATCATGAAGGGGGATTTCTGCCCCTGTATATGGACTGGACCTGATGACCTCAGAGGGCCCTTTAATTTTTGATAATCTGTTATATATCTTTAATACTCAGTTATTGTGATGGGACATTTGTGGAGCGGGGAGGGGAAGACAAGGGGAAGTGTAAGTATTTCATGGCCAAAGACAGCACTTAGAAAGGATCACTCTGGGCCCCCAGTTGTGTCAGGCTTGGACTGCATAGCCCAAAGTTAACACAAGGGGCAGACAGGTGGGATCATGGATAATAGCGTTACACTTGGAGTTAGGAAAATCCCAGTTCAGATCTTGCTTCAGACGCTTAGTAGCTCTATGACTTTTTCCCCATCTATAAAATGGGGACAATGACAGCACCTTCTTCATAGGGCTGATCTGTGGATCAACTATAATAACAATTCAGTGCTTTGCAAGCCTTGAAGTGCTGCATAAATGCTGTTGTTGTTACAAGTGTGTGTACATCAAGGCCACGAGTCTTGTAGGCTGTTGACCTAACTGCCATCACGGAGAGTTTGTGATCTCATCTGCCTGAAGCCCAGAATCCTGCTGGAGAGAATTTTGCCTGATGTAACCATCTAGGTCAGCCCCAGAGTCCCTACAGCCACCTGCAGACACAGGGATACACATGTGCCCCCAGCTCAGGAGGAGGAAACATTCAAACAGGGGACATTAGCCTCTTAAGAGACCCAAAGTTTCTTTGGTCCCATGAGCTCTGCTAGGAACATGAAGGAGATTCCAAAACATGTTTTTCTGCTTCTGTTTTGGTTCTCCCCTTGGACTCAGGGACAAAGCTGGAGATGCCTCAGGCAAGGATGGTCCCCAGAGCTTCTCCTTGGCTGAGGATGGATGGTGATGTGAGGGAAAAGCCAGGCCCTCGTCTACTCTCAAAAACAAAAGCACTAAAGGGGGACAATGGCCTGCCTGAGAGCCAGGGATGCTTAAATATTCTCCTCCTTCCAACACTGCCCCAACACAGCCCTGCCTCGTGTTCCATGGTGTTTCCTTAGTCATACAGAGTAGGGCTTTGCATTGTGATGTTTCAGCTGCTGGACAGCTCCCTATCAGAAAAAACCCAAGTAGGAGACCTTGTGTCAGCGCTAGCCATCACTTGACTCCCCTCAGACTTGGGGTTTTAACTCGGGGTGATGCTGCCTGACATTCAGAGAATGTTTTCCCAGATGATTGCTGTCCTCCTGGTAACACTCCCACACTTTTCACCTTCTGTGCACAAGACTGAGAAGCCACACTGCTTCCCTAAAACCAGTCCCAGCCTCTCCAGAGATGGAGATGTGGTGATTGGGAGTTTTCTCCCCCTGTATTCAGTAGAAGTAAGGAGTGTCTGAGAAGCAGGACTGTTTGAAAGTCATCCTAACCAGATCTGTAGGGATCACA